TCTCCACTGGCAGTGCACTGGGTGTATGTGTGGGCTGTTCTCCACTGGCAGTGCACTGGGTGTATGGATGGGCTGTTCTCCACTGGCAGTGCACTGGGTGAGCAGCGAGCCCCAGGGTGATGATGGAGGCTGCGGAATTGTTCAGTGGTCACACCAGCAACAAGAGCTGGCCATGTGGTCAACAACTTCCTGATCCTTCCCAGACTGCCTTGTGGCAAATGGTGGCGCTAGTTCTCATTTCCGTCTCTCACTTAGGAGTAAGCAGACTTTTAAAAAGTGAGTGGGTGACTGCAGCAAAGGCTCAGTGGTTAGAACTATTCACCGCTCCAGCAGAGGACCCAGGTTCAGTTCCCAGCACCCGCAGGGCATCTGACACCTGACCTGTGTGGTCACCACACACACCTGCAGTGCACACACATGCGCACAGGCAAAATACTCACACACATAAAAATAAGCAAGGACATGTTTTTAAGAGATTTGACTGAGGGGGGAGGATGTGATAAGAGTGCTCACTGCACAAGCATGTGAGCCTGGGTTCGAATTCTCATCAGTGGGAAGTAAGCTGAGCCAGGATGGTGCTGAATACCTGTAGCTGAGCATTCAGGAGGCCAAGGCAGGAGAATCGTCACAGGTTCCCGGTCAGCCTAGGTTGGGCTGCATCCTGAGCTCCTGTCTCAAAAACAGACAGAAAGGAGCAGCCAGCTGGATGATTCAGAGGTTAAAGACGTTCACTGTGCAGACCTGAGTTTGATTCCTGGAACCCATCGTGGAAGGAGAGAACTGACTCCTGAAAGCTGACCTCTGACCTTCCCATGTCTCTCTCTCTCTCTCTCTCTCTCTCTCTCTCTCTCTCTCTCTCACACACACACACACACACACACACACACACACACACACACACACGAAAGCCATTCATGTTCTGTTTCTATGACATACCTATTAATATCGTTGGCTTTATTTATTTTTGGTTTTTGAGACAGGGTTTCTTTGTGTAGTCTTGGCTGTCCTGGAACTTGCTCTGTAGACCAGGTCGGCCTCGAACTCACAGAGATTAAAGGCATGCGCCACTACCGCCTGGCCTTGGATCTTTTAAAAAGTGAGATTATTAATCAGTTTCTTGTTGATTTTTTTAGGAAGCTACTAGATCCAGGCAGCCCCTTTTGAATTCCACAGATTGTATATACTTTAAAAAGAAGATAAATCATGAAAAGTAAACTGACAGCTGGGATTCATTAAAGACAGGACAAGGCATGGTGGTGCCGCTGCACTCAGGGCAGAACCAAGTTCAAGATCAGCTCCTGTTACATGACAAGAACCTATTTAAAAACAACCACACAGAAGCATTCAGAGTCACTGGGGCTCTAGACCGCAGTGGGTGGAAGCTCTGAAGGATGGAGTCTCAGACCCCACCATCCTGTTACTGAGAAAGGGACTGACTGGTGGCCTGTGCCCAGCTGGTACAGCTGTTTGTGACTCTAGCTCCAGTGTATCCAAAACTCTCCTGATCTCCACAGGCACCTGTACTCATGTGCATACACTCACACATGGACACACAGGAATAATTTTAAAAAGGAAGCTGGGCATGGTGGCACATAACTTCAATCTCAGTACTCAGGAGGTAGAGGCAGGTGCATTTTGAGGCCTGCCTGGTCTACATACTAAGGTCCAGACCAGTCAAGGCTACCTAGTGACACTCTTAATAAACAAATAAAACCTTTAAAAGGGAGAGAGGGCACTGGCTGCTCTTCCAGAAGACCCAGATTCAATTCCAAGTACCCACATGGCAGCTCCCAACCGTCTGTAACTCCAGTTCCAGGGGATCCGATCCCCTCTTCTGGCCTCTGCAGGCATGAGGGAGATACATGGTGTACAGACAGAGGATGCAGGGGAAACCCCCATAGGCATAAAATAATAAAAATGTTATCTCACCTTTCTGAGCTTCTGGAGGGAAGAGCTACTTTACCTGGAGAAGATGGCTGTGGGACCAGAGACCAGGAAGATGGAGCATGTTGTCTAATGCATGGGCCACAGAAAAGCACCCACTGAACGAATCCTGCCTGTTCCTAGGAATCAGCAGCTTAACATCAAACGTCAGCTGTTCTGCACCAAGCTGAGTTCTATTGTTCCCATTTTCCCTTAACTCCCCCCCCACACCCTTTTTTGGCAACAGAATGTTCTTTTGTTACATCCAGAAATATCATATAGATCAATTTTCAACTGCATTTAAGAAGACAAAAAAAAAAAAAAAAAGACTGCTGTGTGAGTTGCCAGGATGTAAGACTCTCACTAAGAGTGTGTTTCAGAAAGGCTTTTGCAGGGCAGGACGCCAGAGCAGCTGCAGCTGCAGCTCAGTGTGTGTGTGTGTGTGTGTGTGTGTGTGTGTGTGTGTGTGTGTGATCAGGAAAGCAGTGCACTGTTCTTGCTGTGTTTCCTAAACTCCAGGCCTTCCTGTTGGTTTCCGCCTAATCGACCTGCTAGCTTGTGCAGCATCTCTGTGTGTCCCGGAAGTGGATCTGGGTTTACCAACCTGGGGAATCAACTCAGGATTTGCTGGGCAATCTGTCAGCCCTGCTGACAGAACACAAGCTGAATAGAGAGTCTGTGCCCCTGGGAAAGGGTGACATCATCACAGCAAGATGGTGAATGCTCTGTAGTCATTGTGTGCACAGCGAGGTGGCTCCCCAGAACGTGACTGCTGACTTGGTATATAAGAAAAAAACATCAGAAAGGTGAGGGGGGGGTGGGGGTAGCCCTCTTTCAGAGGTTACCTGCTAGCTTGCATGCAGTGTGGACTGGCTTGTTCCCGAGCCCCATCTCTTCCTGTTTGGGGGTGTAGATTGAAGGTGCTTCCCATATCCTGGTGAATGCCAGGCCTCGGTCCTGAAGCTGCTGGGTTCCCTTTATTTTACAGACAGAGACGATAGAATCTCTCTTTACGCTGGATGGGTCTGCTTAACAGGAGCGAGTGTTGCCCAAAGGAAAGAGAAATCTAGCACGAGCCCCCTTGCACTTTGGAGGCAAAAGGTGTTTTTAATTTGAAGCAGGTTAATTTTTACAGAACTTTGGACTTGGAGAATTGTTCCTGTGCTTCTCAAAGGCCGCCCCAGGGCTGACAAGTTTTGGACGAAATGATGAGATCCAGGACTAAATCGTGAGGTTTTTCTTTAAATGTATTCCATTTCTAAAACGTCTCTTAGACAAGTCTCCCTTCGTTTTTGGTAGTATTAGATGGTGACTTTGCTCCCAGACCTTATATTTGGATGCTCTGTGCGCATCAAGGGTTGCTTGAATGATATTTGCAGCCCACCTTGAGAACCCCTAAGCAACTGCACCTTTGTGCCGGCAGCGCCACCTATCCGAAAACAGAGACACTGCATTCTTGAGCTACATTTGATTATATGAAGTCATTGCCCAGAAAACCATTTAAAGAGTGAGTTCCAGGACAGCCAGGAC